CCAAGTCATTGTTTTGCAAGTCTCAAGTAAGTCAAGTCTTTATCCTCAAGTCCCAAGTCTGAAACGTGGAATTTCAAGTCCTTTTGACTCTTTAACAATATAATGTAACCAACGTAATGGGATGTACATCTCAAACCCAACAAGACTCTCAGACAGAGGCTGCTTCACACAAACAGAGTGGTGTGGTGTCTGCAGGTCAGTGCAGCGAGAAATGTCCAGATCTTTATATTGGAGAAACCAAACAGTGACTTCACAGACGCATGGCTCAACACAGGAGCAGCTCCTCAGGGCAAGACTCAGCTGTTCACCTCCACCTCAAGGATAAGGGACTCTCATTTAAGGACCAGAATGTTCACATTTTGGACGAGAAGACAGATGGTTTGAGAGCGGGGTGGAGGCCGGTTACGTAAAAACAGAGAAACCAGCTTTAAACAGAGGAGGCGGCCTCAGATTTGAACTTTCAAAAACCTACTCCAATCAAGACCTTCATTCATAGGCGTAGCAACCATTATATGTGAAGGGGACATGTCCCCCCCACATTAAAAAAAAAGTTCATTTGGACTCCCCCACTTTTACTATGAAACATTATTTCAGTCAGCGCAGTTTCTCTTTTTTCAGGAACAAATCCTTCCACTTAATAGAATACTCAAGCTACTAAAAATCCACTCCAGGGTTTCCTGGTTACTTCCAACTCTAAACACAGCAGCCTGCACCGTTTCTGCTCTGAGTCTCCTGCCTGAGCAGAAAACGTGCACAGGTGGAGGAGATGGAGACACCTCTGTGTTGCTCACTCGCCAGCTTAGCGAGCTTAGTGCGGGCAGTTGTTGACCAGGGGGGTTGATCATAAACATATATACATGTTAGGAGGATGCTTGAGAAGAGAGCTACGTAACAACTTAGCTTAGCAGTAAGTGTGACGCTGTAAGAGACGCTGCAGGTGCGAGAGACGCTGCAGGTGCGAGAGACGCTGCAGGTGCGAGAGACGCTGCAGGTGCGAGAGAC